CGCGCCTGAGTTAAATGTCACACCTGAACGCTCACATCCTTTTAATTATGTTCGAAATTATGAACATTGCTCAACATCATGAAAATTAAACCTTATTTTCAATAAGCAATCCTGAAAAATATTTGGGGGTGCTTAACTTTTTTCCAGGTGTATAGCTTGGAGAAATCATAATTCTTCATTGTAAGGGGAGGGATACTATAGGCCCCTAGATCGTGTGTGTGGTGATTCTTTTGTCTTCAATAAAGAACAGCAGAAGGAATACTGTTTATATGGGTTCTATTATATAGTATTTGAGGTAGCAGATAAAACTTCTTTAGGCAATCGCGTGTGACGTTTATTTAACGACAATTCGTTTAAGCTCGTGACTACTAGAAGAATTGAGGGATAAAACAGAGACAGTTGGGTGCTACTATAGCGTGCGGGCTACACAGATACTATCATCATCACCGTTTTAATGGTTCACTAAAACATAATTTCTTGCTAAATAATTTATATATATCCATATTTTTCTTCAGCAAATAATAATAATTTAATAAGTTTTGTGTTCCAAAAGAGTACCTTAAACTTATGTTATAATTGTGCTATCTTTTATTGTTGGAATTTATTTCATTCTAATTATATTTGCCCCCAAACGTTATGTAATGGTATTTTGTACTTTATTAGTTTAAAAGCGTTATTTATAATAAATGGCACAAATTGTAAAGTTAAAACGGTGATGATGATAGTTTCTGTGTAGACTGTAGTGTAAATATCTTTTTCACCGTACATTATAGCACCACCAACAATTGTATGTTTCACAAAAACTTTATTTATCAACGGCCATGGTTTCACCAGTAAGGAGATCATCAGGTAAAGACTGAGATCTTTTGTATATATTTTAACAAAAGAACTGGAAGTAACTTTGACATTAACCTTGAAACAAGTGGGGAGGAGCTTAAGTTGCTTTGGTCGTTTAGAACGTTTTTCTGGATTTCTTTTTAGATTTCTATTTATTTCTAAAACTTCCAGGCTATCTAACTTTTTAATTTTTTCAAGTATCAATATATAGTGTAAGAATGATATTTCTCACCTCATGGAGTAGAGAACTTGCCCATCCTGAAAGATCCTCAGCAACTTATTTGGCCTGGTGATGGTGTGTAAGTAGGACCCCTTTCCGTTGTGGAAATACGTGTCAGGTTTCCATATTCGTTCTAACATTTTGATGTTCAAACTAAGGCTCGTTATGGGTGCTTCAAACTGCAAACGTTCATCTCTCCACTTCTGTCGAAAATAGCAGTCCATCGAGTATTCCTATAAAATATATACACAAAGTGAGAAATCAGCTCTGACTCTCAAATTATCTTCATTTCTGTCCGAAGTAAGTCCATCGAGTATTCCAATCAAAAATATACATGGTCAGAAATCAGCTCTGACTCTCAAAATATCTTCACTTCTGTCCAAAGTAACAGTCCATCGAGTATTCCAATCAAAAATATACATGGTCAGAAATCAGCTCTGACTCTCAAAATATCTTCACTTCTGTTTAAAGTAACAGTCCATCGAGTATTCCAACCAAAAATATATATGGTCAGAAATCAGCTGTGACTCTCAAAATATCTTCACTTCTGTCCAAAGTAACAGTCCATCGAGTATTCCAATCAAAAATATACATGGTCAGAAATCAGCTCTGACTCTTGAAATATCTTCACTTATGTCCAAAGTAACAGTCCATCGAGCATTCCAACCAAAAATATATATGGTCAGAAATCAGCTGTGACTCTCAAAATATCTTCACTTCTGTCCAAAGTAACAGTCCATCGAGTATTCCAATCAAAAATATATATGGTCAGAAATCAGCTCTGACTCTCAAAATATCTTCACTTCTGTCCAAAATAAAGGTAATCGAGTACTCTATCAAAATAGACAAGGTGAGAAAACAGTTCTGACAGTAATATGCGAAATTGAAGACAACATTTAAAAAGATTTAGAGAGAAATCTATAAACGGAACATTATTTTTATTATATTAGCTCTTCATATAAGTGCAAAATGCCGCTAAAATGTTTAACACTTTAAACACATATTCTAAATGAAAAGTTTACCACATTCGAGGTTCTGTTACAGAATAAATAGTATATTCCGCATGTAATTTACCATTAAACCTTCTCATACTGAAATAATATTGTAAAAGACTGTAGAACATCGTGCATAAAGTTTATATTAACACTCTTCCAATACTGAAACAATGTAAAAAGACAATAGAACATCGTGCATCAAACGTATACTTAACACACGTCCCATACTGAAGTCCATTAGAAAAGGACTATAGAACATCGTACATCAAACTTATACTTAACACACGTCCCATACTGAAGTCCATTAGAAAAGGACTATAGAACATCGTACATCAAACTTATACTTAACACACGTCCCATACTGAAGTCCATTAGAAAAGGACTATAGAACATCGTACATCAAACTTATACTTAACACACGTCCCATACTGAAGCTCATTAGAAAAGGACTATAGAACATCGTACATCAAACGTATACTTAACACGTCTCATACTGAAGTCCATTAGAAAAGGACTATAGAACATCGTACATCAAACTTATACTTAACACACGTCCCATACTGAAGTCCATTAGAAAAGGACTATAGAACATCGTACATCAAACTTATACTTAACACGTCCCATACTGAAGCTCATTAGAAAAGGACTATAGAACATCATACATCAAACTTATACTTAACACGTCCCATACTGAAGTCCATTAGAAAAGGACTATAGAACATCGTACATCAAACTTATACTTAACACACGTCCCATACTGAAGTCCATTAGAAAAGGACTGTAGAACATCGTACATCAAACTTATACTTAACACGTCCCATACTGAAGTCCATTAGAAAAGGACTGTAGAACATCATGCGTCAATTGAAAATATCTGATTATGATTTTCCAGTAGAGGAGACCTTTATATCTTGTATAAAAATTTATTTGACATGTTTCATTTAGAATTTTTAGCAGAAACTCCAACTTTCTATTGTAACATTGTTCTTGTTTTTATCTTTAGTTAATCCTTTTTTGAACTATTCTGCACTGATCTTCTACTTAGCTTGGTCTTTAATTAATCTCAATTGAAAGATTCTGTATTAACAGTATGATCTTTAATTGATTTTGTTTGAAACGTCCTCGACTAGTCTTATATTTGACACTGTCGTTAATAAATCCTTTTTGACACGTTTAGTACTAATATTGAATTAGTGTGATCTTGAATTAATTCTGTTTAAAACTTTTTGTACAAATCTTGTACAAGACATTTATATGACCAAAATGAAGCTTAACAAATAATTGACAAAAAAAAAGAAGAGTATATTTTGAAAGTATGTGTAACAAGGCTACCTGGAGGCCACTATATTTTGCTGTTTTCAGCTCTTACAACTTCCAGGAATCTTTTCGTCTAAAGGGCTGATACTAGACAGTTATTGTTGCTACGGCAACTTGACTGTCGCGTAAGCAGAATCAATGAGGAGGAGGCCTGAAACAGATGACCCGAGGGTCTTATTGACTGAAATCATTGAAACTAGCAAGTAAAACGAATCCTTGAATTGTTGATGGCATCAGATAACAACAAACTAAAGCTTAGTTTTAGTAATTGGAAAAATTATTTCACGTATTATATGCATGTACAGAAATATAGAACTTTCTTAAATCCCAGAGTGAAGTATTAGAATTTCTTGAATTACGATCTGGAAACTGGAAGCTACAAGATCGTTACAAGTTTGTTAAAATACGGTTCCGACATTGATAGTAAATAACAGAATTTATCCTGTGACATAAATAACGTATTTTATGACAGTAAGCGTCATACGTTAAGACTGTCCATACATTACATTATCCTGTAACATACATACCAAAATCATTTTAAATAGTACACATCATACTCTGGAACTGCAGCTACTCTAGTTTATCTTGTAATATACTTATCATACCTTATTCTAAAGAAGTATACATCGTATTTTGGGATTCTGAGGCTGTACATATCCGACTTTATTCTGTAACATATCTAAAAAACATTACTTTATGACATTATGAACTCGTTTATCCTAGAATAATGCATAACAAACTTTATCTTATGATAGTAAGTTTCTTACTCTAGGAGGTAAAAATCCTATATCCTAGAATAGTATTTACCATACCTTGTAGAATGGCAGTAAGAACCCTAGTTTACCCTATGATAGTACTTACCATAGCGAACTCAGATATTGGACCGATACTCCTTATAAGCATATTCGTTGTAATCAATGTAGGCTGACCTGAAAATAGAGAAACAGTACTTTGTTAATACTTGGAAGTGACCGTCTTAATGTTGTTCATAACTTTAGACTGGTTTGTTGTATATGGTTAACACAGATTTCACTCTTACTATAAGTCTTTTCTATTTCTTGTGTTAGAACATATTGTTTTTGGAACCATAACTTAAGCAAGTACTGTCTTAGTACATGTTCGTTTTAGTTTATTTAAATAAATTACTGTTTTTGGTACTACATATTGTCTATTGATGTTGTATATGGCATGTCCTCATAGAAAGAAAGCTATAAGCCAAATTATCTTGACTTGGGAACTAAACTAATTTATAATTACAATAAAAGCAAGTGAAATATTGTTGACGTTAAGATTTAAAGCAGATGTTTTCTTTACTTTGTTGTAAAACTAGAACAGGACAGTGACTGAAATGAAACTTTGTTTTATTTTATCTACATATTTTGATGTGATATGCACAATCTTCACTAAGAGAAGAAGGAGAAGGACATCTTGTATATCTTAATTAACAGATGTGCGCGCATATAAAAAAAATACATAATTATCCAAACAGCAACTTATAGATTTCCAAAATTGTCCTTCATTGCCGAAATAAGATACTTCTTTCGAAAATTATTACCGTTTTTCACGGCTACCAAAGCTTCTCGGATGTTTAATTCGTTTTATGAACAGAACTTACCACGTGTTCAGACACACCGTGCAAATCACACCAAAACACGTATAGAAAGACTAACGTGCCCTTTTAAATAAAATTATTGTTCTTTAAAATGTTTAGCGTTATGGTGCGAATTTATTCTGTTTAATCTTATTTAAAGGTTACCGTCATATTTTTATTTTACCTCCTTGATCGGGTCTCTGGTTGTAGTCATAGTTTTCTAACAAAGTGTTGAGTACCAAACTAATGTTGCTACTTTTATCACTCGAAAGAGTTTCATTAATGATTTCTGTTTCGACAGAAGATTGACGATCAGGTATAGGCCAAAAACACAGTATTCTGGAAGAGAAAATCACAAGAGAAAACGAGGATAAAAGCACAGTATTTTGTAAGATAAAACAGGGATAAAAACACAGTTTTTTGTAAGATAAAACAGGGATAAAAACACAGTATTCTATAAGATAAAACAGGGATAAAACATATTATTCTGTAAGATGAAACAAGGATAAAAACACAGTATTCTATAAGATAAAACAGGGATAAAACACAGTTTTGTGTAAGATAAAACAGGGTTAAAAACACAGTATTGTGTAAGATAAAACAGAGATAAAAACATATTATTCTGTAAGATAAAACAGAGATAAAAACACAGTATTCTATAAGATAAAACAGGGATAAAAACAGTATTCTGTAAGATAAGATAGGGATAAGTAATTAGTATTCATTAAGGAAAATGGTTAAAGGAAATTGCTTCTTACAGTGATGAAGTGACTATAAAACAAAATCAAACAAAGTTTTAACTAAACAAAAATTAACAAATTATCTATGAAGATGTGGATCAATCAGGAAATCCATAACGCAAAAAAGTCTAAAAAAATACCATATCAAAGTAAGGATTTTCTCTAAAGAAATATTTCAGATAAAAAAAATCATCACGCGAATTCTTATCCCATGTAAAACTCGTATAAAGCGTCTTTAGTTCCTATATATCGAGATGTTTAGGATTAAATAGTTTAATCTCAGAAATAATTTATTCCAAACAAAGATTTTAGGTAATTAAAACTGAGACGTTTCATCCCATAATCACCCACTGCCTGAAGATGACCCATTACTATCAACTGAAACGTCCAAGACCTAAATACTTATTAAATAAATAATTATTTTAAACAAACATATCCATGTCAACTGTTCATAGGAGTTTGCTAATAAACACATTTATATAGTTGGTATCACACAAAATTGTTTGTTTAGGAAAATATTTGCATTATTGGTGTCACGGACGTCAAAGAATAGTATCCATATAGAAAGATATGCATTTCTGTCCATTTAGAAATATATGCATATCTCTCGTCACAGCATTGTGTCCATTTATAAATATGTGCATTTTTGACGTTACATGCAAGGACGGAACTACAGCACTAGAAAAGATCATGATGATGAAAGTTATCAGGTTGTATTATGCTTAGTAATGAGTATCTGGGTGAAGAATAGAAGTTACACTGTAAAGTCTGGGTGAAGAATAGAAGTTACACTGTAAAGAACATGACGATGGAACACACTACATAATGAGCAGTGTTATGGATAAATATAGAAGCATGAAGTCTGATGATACTCACCAGGATGGAACACGCTACATAATGAATAGTGTAATGGATAAATATAGAAGCATGGAATCTGATGATACTCACCAGGATGGAACACGCTACATAATGAATAGTGTAATGGATAAATATAGAAACATGGAATCTGATGATACTCACCAGGATGGAACACGCTACATAATGAGTAGTGTAATGGATGAATATAGAAGCATGGAATCTGATGATACTCACCAGGATGGAACACGCTACATAATGAGTAGTGTAA